CCCCCCCCTCACCGTGTACTTGTCCCATCTCTTCTCGGGGTCGAAGGGCTCCCATCTGGAGGCAGGGAAGATGTGCTTGTTCTTCTCGTACCAACTGCGCAGGACGACCTTCCCCGCGTGGGACTGCAGTGACGTCATCAACAGGGCAATGACGTCATCAACGGGGTGATGTCATCAGTGGGAGGAGTGATGTCATCAACGGGACAGTGACATCATCGACGGGGTGATGTCATCAATGGGAGCAATGGGAGGAGTCACGTCATCCATAGGAGGAGTGATGTCATTGACAGGGTGATGTCATTGGTGGGAAGGGTGATGTCATCGACAGGGTGATGTCATCAGTGGGAGGGGTGACGCCATTGATAGGAGTGATGTCATCAATGGGAAAAGTGAAGTCATTGATGGGAGGAGCGATGTCATTAATGGAGGGTGACGTTATTGACAGGGTGATGTCATCGAAGGGAAAAGTGATGTCATTGATGGGAGGGGTGATTCCATCGACAGGATGATGTCATCGATGGGGTGATGTCATCAAAACAGGTGATGTCATTGATAGGGGTGATGTCATCGATGGGAAGAGTGATGTCATCAACAGGGTGATGTCATCAATGGGAGGAGTGATGTCATTGACAGGGTGATGTCATCAATAGGAAGAGTGATGTCATTGATGGGAGGAGTGATGTCATCGACAGGATGATGTCATCGATGGGGTGATGTCATCAAAACAGGTGATGGCATTGATAGCAGTGATGTCATCGATGGGAAGAGTGATGTCATCAACGGGGTGATGTCATCAGTGGGAGGAGTGATGTCATTGACAGGGTGATGTCATCAATAGGAAGAGTGATGTCATTGATGGGAGGGGTGATTTCATCGACAGGATGATGTCATCGATGGGGTGACGTCATCCACACAGGTGATGTCGTTGATAGGGGTGATGTCATCGATGGGAAGAGTGATGTCATCAATGGGGTGATGTCATCAGTGGGAGAGGTGACGTCATTGACAGAAGGAGCGATGTTATCAGTGGGAGGGGTGATGTCATTAACAGAGGTGATGTCATTGATAGGAGTGATGTCATCGATGGGAAGGGTGATGTCATTGATGGGAAGGGTGATGTCATCGAAGGAGGTGATGTCATCATGACGGTTGATGTCAGTGACAGGGTGATGTCATCGATGGGAGGAGTGATGTCATCAGTGGGAGGGGTGATGTCATTGATAGGGGTGATGTCATCAACATGATGATGCCACGGATGGGGTGATGTCATCAATGGGGTGATGTCATCAAGGGGATGAGTGATGTCATCGATGGGGTGATGTCATTGATGGGGTGACATCATCAATGGGGGTGATGTCATCAATGGGAAGGGTGACATCATTGATGGAGTGATGTCATCAGTGGGAGGGGTGATGTCATCAATGGGGTGATGTCATTGACATGGTGATGTCATTGATGGGATGATGTCATCAGTGGGAAGGGTGATGTCATCAATGGGAGGGGTGACGTCATTAGTGGGAGGAGTGATGTCATTCATGGGTGTGATGTCATCAATGGGACGGGAAAGGAAAGGACATTGGTGGGTCACAACCTCACAACTGGTTTATCCCAGTCCAGACTGGTCCTTACTGGTCTATACTGGTCTATACTAATCCATCCTGGCCTATACCATTCCCCACTGGTCTATACTGGTCCATACTGGTCCCTACTGGTCTCCACTGTTCCTCAGCAGTCTATACTGGTCTGTACTGGTCCCCACTGGTCTATACTGGTTTATACCAGTCCCTATTGGTCTATACTGGTCCATACTGGTCCCCACTGTTCCCCACCAGTCTATACTGGTCCATACTGCTCCCCACTGGTCCATACTGGTCTATACTGATCCATACTGGTTTATACCAATCCCCACTGGTCCCCACTGGCCTATACTGGTCTATATTGATCCATACTGGTTTATTCCAGTCCCCCCTGGTCTATACTGGTCCCCACTGGCCCATACTGGTCCCCAGTGGTCTATACTGGTCCCCACTGTTCCCCACCCGTCTATACTGGTCCCTATTGGTCCCCACTGGTCCCTACTGCTCTATACCAGTCCCCACCGGTCCATACTGGTCCCCACTGGTCCCCACCAGTCTATACTGGTCCGTACTGGTCCTCACTGTTCCCCATTGGTCCCCACTGGTCTATACTGGTCCGTTCTGGTCCCCACTGGTCCCCACTGGTCTATACTGGTCTATACTGGTCTATACTGTTCCATACTGGTCCCCACTGGTCTATACTGGTCCGTTCTGGTCCCCACTGGTCTATACTGGTCCCTACTGGTCAGTACTGGTCTATACTGGTCTATACCGGTCCACGCTGCTCCCCACTGTTCCCCACTGGTCTATACTGGTCTATACTGGTCCCTCACCTCGTCCTTCTCGACGGTGGCGTCGCTGAGCAGCCGAACGTCGTCGTGGACGTCGAAGTTGAAGAGGGGCCCTGGGGGGCGGGGGAGGGGATCGGTGACGTCACGGATGACGTCATTGACCCCATCACCCACTGATGACGTCACAGATGACGTCACTGATGACGTCACTCACCGCTCTTGCCGCGGGCCTTGGTGACGATGAAGTCGTAGAAGCTGTGGTGCTGTGGGGGGAGGGGCGGGGGGG